CCTGAATGGTCTGGATGGTCTTTCTGCTGTTCAGCATTCGGTTGATTTACATATTACGCTTTTATTATATAGGATTATATAGGATGAGCTTGTCAGGCTTGCAGAGGGAGCCCATTTTGTACACAGATGACAGCATGTCTTATTCACACACCTCGGTGTCTCCACGCTCAGCACAGTACCAGTCACCCAGTAGACACTCAGTAAATGTAAGCTGACATGTAGGGCATGATGCCTGGTGTCTTCGGAAGAACAAAAATTGTCTAAAGTGTTCCTGGCATGTAATTGTGAATTTTAATGTCTTCTTTAGTGTGAGAATTAATGTTTAAGTGTGACAACAGGGGGTTAATTTGGCTGAAACAGTTCTTTTCTTTCTCTGATGTTAACTGGTAAGATAATGGGATTCTAATCTCATCAAAGCATTTTATTTCAAATGTAGAAGTGTGTTTCTACATTTTGGCGCATTTTAGGTAAAAGTTCAGCTACAGTTTTTAAAAAGCTGAGTTGTCTGAATATTGCTAATAAGAGTTAAGCATTTGTTAATATGGGGGTAAACCACTAAATTTAGATTTATGTATGATTGTTAGGTGTAGTTCCTTGCCGAAAAATACATAAACTGTGATTTTGAGTATGAAAGACACACACTATTTTTTTTTTACAAGAACTTTTAAAAGTTAAATGCTTTTTTCTTTACTTGTTCAAAAGAGGAAGACTTCTGCATGCAGATTCCAGGAAGATTAGATCCTGCCTTCTTTATCATAAGCCACATTGGAGGAGGGGCTAGCTGAAAGCCAAGCTTCTTTTGCTGAACCCCAGCTAGCGATGGAGTCTGGCTGTGTTGGGGTTGAAAAGCAGTATGGTTGAGGACAGAGGAATTGCCCAACTCGTTACCAGAGGGAAATCTACACAGACCGGTTGACTTGTGTTTCGAAAGTATGGGCTTGAATGTACAAACAACCATGGTCTGAGGTCCCCAGGCCACAGCGATGCCAGGGCTTACATCATGTTCTGGAAAAAAACACATTGGGGTGGGGTACATTCTTCGTCTAACGTGTAGCCAATGCATGAATTTTGCAAAGGACTCAGTTTATTCACATTTAAACAAAGCTGCACTAACAAAACATCAGACAGCAAAAGTCACGTAACAGATGACTTGGCCAAAGGCCAACCCTAGCACTCAGAGATACTGGTCAGTTGAAACCTATCACCCATGTAACTTGAGAGGAGCTTACTGGTACAATGTGGTGACCATTCCTTCACTCTTTCTTGTCGCTTGGCCTCAAAGTCCCAGAACAGGCTGTGGTGCCACCATGGGTGGTGGTCATGTCTAGGTAATTCCCAGGAAAAAGCAGCTGTTGCAGCCTCAAGAAGAAAACCCAGCCTTCCCCTGAAAGTAGCACACAGGGACCCCTCTGTTATTGTTCCCCCTCCCCCGGCCCCCCCCCACTGAAAACAAAACCATAATAACAACAAAGAAAAAGAGTAGGTATGTAGTTGTGCAAGGAGCTCCTTTTTGTACTTGCCATCCTATCTGGAATGCATGCAAAATTCGTTTCCAGGGTCTAACTGTACATCACAGCTAACCTTCACTGCCTCCCCTTTTTGTTCTTTTCCTTCCAATTTTCTTCCTTAGGCCCATTTCTCTTCTTCCAATATTCCTTTTTGTGGGCAGTTCTGTTAGATAGGACAAGGGTCTCAAGGTCTGGGCAGTTCTAAATGTTATTTCTTGCTAAATGTTAAAATATAGCACAGTATTTTGCAGATGCAGCAGTAAACAAGAACAATACCAAGGCTCAGTTGGGGGAGGCAGAGCTTTGCTTACTAGTATGAATCCCATCTCCTTTACTTGCTGCAAGTAAATAAAACTACCTTGCGGCAACCACATCTTGTTCTCAGTAGAACACCCCAAGCAGAGAACCCCTTCAGTTCAGTAAGTTCCACTTTAAACCCCTTTTCTTTCTCTTCCTCATTCCTTTCCTACTATGTGTCAGGTATTGCTCTAGGATTTGGGGAAGGATTACATGAAACAGAGAAGACCCTTGATATTGTGGACCTTATATTCTGTGGCAGGAGATGGAGAGGAAAAAATACCCAAAATAATAAATAAGGGAATTTCAGATAATGACCAGAGAGAACTTTGAAGGGAATCACACTGGGTGGTGTGATAATGTGACAGATGGGCCTGGGGGCAGGAAAGGGGGAGGCTGCTTGGAAAGGAAGTCTGCTGAGGGGTGAGAGGGAGGAGAATTAAAATTGAGTTCAGACCTGAGTCATAGGAAAGATTCAGGCAAAGGGAAAGCATTTCTCTTCAGAGAGAAAGGCTTTGCAGCAAGAAGCTGTGAAGCAAATGCAAGGAACGGAAGGGAAGCCGGTGTGGTTAGAGCTTGGAGAACCATGACAGGAGTGATGATGGTAAGACATGAAGTCCAAGTTTGCAGGGGCCAGAGCACATCTGGCGTGGGAGGTAATGTAGGGGTTTGAGTTTATTTTAAATGCACCACAATGCCAGGTCCTACCGAGCAAGGTAATGAATTATTTATCCAGAACACTGACTATCCACTGTTGAGCTCCTCTACATTATCCACAGACTGAGCCTATAAAGATTTCATGACAGTCGAACACGCATAAAGGATTTATTATATAAGGGAGTTTGGGACACACAGGAACAGCTGACAAATGGGAGCCCTCTGCTTCACTCTCATCATGGACCTCTTCTCTCATTTCTCTGACATAATAGAGCTGCCTCATTCCTACATTCTTATGCCACCTGTTCCTTGTTCATTTTTTATAAATTCATCATTTGCCTTTGGAGTTTCATATTTTTATCTCCAAATGATGAACATAGATGTACTTTAAAAAATCAGTTTATCCATATTTCCATGTAGGTCGTTAGGAAAAAGGTCACGATGATTTGTTCCATTCTAAACCAAAAATTCCCATTCAGCAGTGATGACTCACATTGTTGTGAATCATCTAAGTACTGGGCTGACCTGCCAGCCACAGCAGGTCTCCATGGCAGCTCTAATATATTAAGTACTTTATTTTTGCCATTAGCACTATTCAATTTCCAACTGTCTTGGACACAGCCCCACGGGTTTTCTAAATAAAATCCAACCCAAAAAAACCCCAGTGCCAGTTAATGAACATTTCTCAGCAAATTCCTTGTAGTTGGGATAAAAATATCCAGATTGTTCAGGTGACTTAAAATTACCCAGTTTTATAGTGTGTTACCGCAATTCACAACGCATCTTAGTGTATCTAAAAGTCCCACAGTAATCAACTCCAATTAGAATGCCTCTCCACCCAAATTAAGTTACCAATTAAATAAGTTCTCCCAAATGAGAAGTGTAGCCAACGTAAATTAGATTAGCCCCATCATTATATAAGTTCTACTTGTATTCTCCAGTTACACTGTAGTATTCTTACCATTCTTTCTTTAAACAACAAAAAAGAATGCAGGATTCAAGTGTTTCCATTTAAGGAATTCACTTACGAATTTTCAAGTGAACAGCCCATACTTTTGAACGGTACAATGGTGTGTGTGTGTGTGTGTGTGTGTGTGTGTGTGGTACTAATCGCCACATCACAAAAAAACATCCCATGGAAAGAAAAGACAATGACACAAAGTCTTCTCAGGATACCTCAGTGGAATGGATGCTTTTATTTTAACTAATATGTCTACACAAATACACTGTCACAAATGAGAGCTTCTTAGGCCTGATTATAATTTAAACTCTGAAAGATGAGGACTGTTAAGGGACCAGGTTAACTGACCTGTTAACCTATGTCCCTTGATATGAGAAGGGGAGTTGGGTTCTCCTCTAGTCCCCTTGCTTAGGATTAAATGAGAGACTTCAGCTTTGGTGTGAAGCTGTTAGCTGTCCTAATCAAGGACAATATACAAAAACTGGGTTCTAGGAATGAGGGACAAAAGGGAAGAAAATCTAGAAGTGGGTAGAGATAAAAGGGCAGCACTGAGCTGCAGAAAACGTCCAAGGATGACAGACTCTAGTTAAGCTCAATGGGAGGAGGTTCTTGGTGTATAGGCAGAGAAATTAGACAACGCAAAGATGGCCTTGGCCATCCAGCATGACGGAGTCAGGGGAGGGAGGTCTGCATGTGGCAGACATCTGAATTAGAAACAGCAGAAAGGTAAACCAGCCATGGTTCCGTCTTGAGCCTTTCTAGCTTACATGTGGCTCTTCTCCCACTGGACAAATACATTTTCATGAGGCAATCCAATCATGAATGCAATAAACTCTCATGAGGTCCACAGGTTGAGGGTGGTTCTATTCTCAAACATGAAGCTGATTCTGTTCTCAAACAGGGGGTGGTAAATCAGTTGCTGGGAGAGGAGGAATGAAGGTGTGGAATCCAAACATCTTGAATAAGTCATCTAGTAGCTCTGGTCACTTTGGACATTCCTGGGAGATACATAACAGGTCACTATAACAACACAACACACACTGATACCTGTTTGTTCCCCAAGGTCCACATGACAATGAGTTTCTACCATCTTAGTTTACAGAGATATTATTCAGTCCAGGTTACAATCGTATTTTACAAAAGAAAACTGGACTATATAGATATCTATAACATGGATGGGATTAACCAGAGGGGCTGGAAGTCAGAAGAGCTATGTTTCAGTCCTGCTCAGCTGTGTGAACCTGGAGAAGTTGTTCATCATCTCTGGGTCTCAGTTTGTTCATTTGTAATGTGTGGTGGTGAACCCACTGCCACCTCCACCCCCACCCCTGTATACCTCCTCCCTGTTCTTTTTTTTTTTTTTTTTAATATATTTTATTGACTTTTTACAGAGAGGAAGGGAGAGAGAGAGTTAGAAACATCGATGAGAGAGAAACATCGATCAGCTGCCTCCTGCACATCTCCTACTGGGAATGTGCCCGCAACCAAGGTACATGCCCTTGACCGGAATCGAACCCGGGACCCTTCAGTCTGCAGGCCAACGCTCCATCCACTGAGCCAAACCGGCTTTGGCCCTCCTCCCTGTTCTTAAGGGGATCCCCACATGGAAACTCCCTGTGGAAATGTAAATGCAAACAGAAGATGTGGCAGTGAAACAGACTGGACAACTGTGTGAACTCTCATGTAACCATCTGTCCTCAGGAAGGGACATGTTTTCCACTGGTCCCATAAGTATCATCCAAGGCCATTTACTTGTAATTCTCGAGAAAAGTAATTTTCAGATGATAGTCCTGGAATAAGTTCAAGAGGTGTCTCAGATCGCTTCCAGTTTGAATGAAAAATTACCTTGGTTGGAGGTGGGGGCCAAGCTGCGTTCCCTCCAAATACATTTGAGTTGTATATACTTACTACAGGGGAGAAAAGAACTAGAATTTACCCTGTGCCCTCTCCGGGCTGAGCACTTATAAGGTGTCTTACATACAGTCTCAAGGCAACTTTAAAAGGTAGGTACCACTGTCCTCATTTTACAGGTGAAGATACTGAGACTCAGAGTGGTTATGACTTGGCCAAGTTCACACCACCAGGACATGAGAGAAATCTGAAAACAACAAAAAATGCAGCGTCTTCTGATTTCATAGTCCATGTTTTCTCATGCTACCTAGAAGAAAAAGAAATGAGGGGGACGGGTTAGCCAGAAAAGTCAGGGAAAGGGATATGCAGTTAGTAAAGAGCTCACCCATTCAACAGCATTCTGCAATGCCCAATTTCCAAATAATCAGAATGAAACAGAAATCTGCAATATTAAGTCTCTAATAAACATAAGCAATCTGACTTTGATGATCCATAAGGTGCTTTCAAATTCTGCTGTGCCTTAAAGTTCTCACGAACAATACTGATTATCCGTGCACTGCAGCGCAGAGAAGAAAAAGGCAGGTAACGGACGCCAGGTCACCTGCCTCCACGCTGCCAGCACTGCACAACTTTTATTGGCTTTCATTACATCAGGTCAAGGAAACAAGCAGAATCTAGCCACGTGGTCCTGCCTGTTTAGACATCCATTCTGAATACATCCATTCTCAGGCCCAGTGAGAAAGAAATCAATCCAAAAGGATCTCACCTTTCACTAAGTTCTACCCTTAACATCCTTAAACAGTCATATCACTGTGCACGGTATTTTGGGGAGTCCCAATCTCTATCACGAAGCAGAGCTGAAAACAACTGGAGAATGTAACCGGTATTTTCACGCCCCCTCATTGGGTGGGTCAGACTGCATGAGGCAGTGTGGCTGTGTGGCGGGACAGAGGTCCGGATCTGTGGCCAACTGCTGCTCCTGCCTAGGTTCTTGACTGGTCTTTTCCTCTGCTGTCCCAGTGCCTCTATCCTCAGCAATGTTAAACAACGAAGTATCTGCAAGCGACCGTGTCTAACTAAATAAAACGCTCAGTATTTGAATCTCCAAGAAGCAGCCGATTCCAGGAAAGCATTTCTTGGCCGACTAGAGCAGACTGGGGTGAAAGTTGTACCGCAGGCTGGAGAAGAGCCCGATGTGTTTCACAAGGTTGGGTTCCACCACATAGGCCCGCTCCCCCTTGGCCCTCAACAGTGAGTACAGGGCCATGTCCTTGCCAAAGCCCTGGTGGCAGTACACCTGGGACAGGTAGGTGAGGGTCCGGCGGGCCGCAGGGGCAGGGAAGAGCATGGCTGGGGTGCAACACTCCGAAGCAGGGACCACACTGTACAGGGAAGGGCTCAGCCGCCGCAGTTCCAGGAAATAGTGCCTGCCCACCAGTTCCACCAGGCCCATGCTGTACAGGGAGAAGAAGAGCAGGACGGGCCAGCTGAAGCCCGGACGGCTGGCAAACCGCATGTATATCCAGGTTAGGATGGGCCCCAGCACCATGCCCACACCGATCCACTCCAGGATCCGCATGGGCTCTGGGTTGATGTAGTGCTGGAGCCTCTCGGGGTGATAGAGCTTTAGATAAAGGGCATCTCTGAGGTGGGGCTCGGAGAAGCGAGCCCGCAGAAGGTGCTCCAAGACGGGGAAGATCTGCTCTTCTGGAATGGCGTCGTCTTCCACCATCAGGACGTAGTCCGGGTTGTAGGTCTGCAGGGAGGACTCCAGGCAATAGACGTAGTCCTGCTTCTCTTTCTCAAACGAGTTGGTCGAAGGGTCGTCGCCGTAATCATCCTCAGTGCCCTCATAGCGGTTGGCCACGGGGACGTACTTGGACAGCAGCTTGGCATCCACATGGCTCACGCTGCGCTCCACATTGCACAGGAAGAGCTGGTGCCCCTCGCACTGGGGGCCGCACTGTTGAAGCAGCCGGTGGAACTGGGACACCACCTGCAAGACATAGTGGAAGCCAGGCTGCCTGTCCACGGTGACGATGGTGATGACCAGCCAGGGGCGGGGGGTGGCCTGCCAGACGATGGGCACTGAGCCGTTGGCGGAGGGCAGCTCCTCAAAGTAGTGGAGGGCAGCTTCACCCTCTTTCAAGCTTTGTTGCAGGTAATCTTGGCTCATTTGGTTCAGATGCCAATGGCGAAGGTAGAAGTACGAGTGTAGAAGCCGGTGACAGGCCAGGGGGGCCAGCAGGCCGAACGTCACCACGGTCAAGATGAAGAGCTGGACAGCTGTGCTGCCCCAGGAGAGCCGCCTCAGCCTCCGGAGGAGCATGGCCGCGGGGGAGGCGGATGTGCTCATGAGGTCAACTTCTGGTCAGGTCTGGTCCCGAGAACAAACCATCCTGGACTGTAGGCCCAATTCAGTGCAAGTCAAACCTAAAGAAAGAGGAGGAAGAGAATGGTAAAGGGACAGAACTCAGCGTGTATCAAACTCGAAATTCCAGTTCTAGGTTGTGTAGCTATTAGAAATGAGCATGGGTGGGGAAACCTTTTTCTGCCAAGGGCCATTTGGATATTTATAACATCATCCTCAACTTAAAAATTAGCCTGCTATAGGCTCACTCTCCCTCCTGGGAGCACACCCTTGCTTTTCCCTTCTCCTCTTCTTCCCTGACAGGCAGACATTTTCTCAACTCTAAGGGACCCCATGAGACTTGCAGCCAGGGGAGCAGTGGGCAGTGGCAGCTCATCCTGGGCTAAACCCCCAGAACCTCTCCCCAAAGCCCCTTTTCTCTGACTCCTCCAGTGAGCTGACAGCAGCCCCACCTAAGCTCACTTCTTTCCCATAAAGCTTCTAGAAAGCCAAAGCGCCCCGCCCAGACTCTCCCGTTGCCTGCATCCTAGGCCCTTCCTTGTTTCACTGTCCCAGCTTCAGTAAATGTGCCCTCACAATCACCTGGATTCATGCTGTGAAATCTTTCCTGCACAAATTAAAAAGAAAAAAATTAGCCTGCTGTATTTGGTCAAACATTTAATTCACTCACTCCTAATGCCTTGGCAGGGCCAGACCAAATGATTTCATGGGCCTTCTACAGCCTATGGGCCGGACATTCACCAACTCTGCACTAGAGACTTAAGTATTTTCTCCAGTGCACTACCTTTGGTTGTATCTGTCAATAACCTCTTGGATTCTTCTCTTCTGTTATTTCTGTGAGTAATGAAACCTTGGTACTCCAACCGAGTCTCTACATCTACATGTTTTTGTTACTCCTCACCTGAGGATACTTTTCCATTGGTCTTTAGGAAGAGTGGAAGAGAAAGGGAAAGACAAACATCGATGTCAGAGAAACACATCAATTGATTGCTTCTGACCAGGTCCAGGGCCTGAGGGGCCTGCAACCAAGGTATGTGCCCTTGACAGGAATCGAACCCGGGACCCTTTGGTCCGCAGGCTGACGCTCTACCCACTGAGCCAAACCAGCTGCAAGTATGTCAAACTCAAAGGCTACCATGGGCCAAATAAACAAGGTTTAAGTTTCTGTGGACCGAAAAAAAACCAAGAGCTTCAATTTTCATAGAAACGTAGGTTTATTTCAATAGAGACATGCTGAATACAAAGGGCTGGAATAAACAAGTAATCGTTAATATAAAAGAATAGAATATTTTAATAAAAGTTAATATTTTTCTTGAACACTAACTTACCAGTACTAGACACTGAATAACTGCACAATTAATAAGCATAACGCAAATAAACCTATTTTTCTTGTCCTCCAAAAGTGAAATATTTTCTGTTGCGCACACCAAACAAGTCAGTCCAAGACTAATGACGTGGCAATCGGCTGCTAAAATATTCACTGCTAGTATTAGTGGAGAGAAATGGTGCACCTGTGCATAAGGCGTGTAAAGGAAATGAATGCAACACGATTATAGTAATGAATCATTAGCGAGCCTTGTAGTTCGTTATTAATAACTAGAGGCCCAGTGTAAGTAATTCATGCACTGAAGAGTCCCTAGGGGCTGTCGGCTGCCGGCTGGGTATTCCCTCCCTTTCCCTAGCTGCCTGCCAGCACCAGGGCCTTCCTCCCTTTCCCCCACTGGCCTGCCCCCCGCTGGCCGGCCCCCTGGTCGAACTCTGGAAGAACTCCAGTCGATGGGACAATTTGTATATTATAATGGTTTCTTACATACCATTATATTTGCTGGACCACAACAATATTCGTTGTGGGCCACATGTGGCCCATGGGCAGTGAGTTTGACATGCTTGGGCTAGTGCAGTGGTCAGCAAACGATGGCTCGTAAGCCATATGCGGCTCTTTGGCCCCTTGAGTGTGGCTCTTCCACAAAATACCATGTGCAGGAGCGCAAGTACAGTGCGATTGAAATTTTATGGCCCATGCGCAGAAGTCGGTTTTCAGCCTGGGCGAGTCTATTTTGAGGAAGTGGCGTTAGAAGAAGTGGGGGGTGGACATATAGAGAGGATGAACGAAAGGAGATAGACGAAACAAGTATACAAGACCAATGTGGATGGGAGAGTTGGAAGGGGTCGACCTCAGCGAACGTACCTCAATCAGCTTGAGGACGTTTTTAGCAAAGGCCAGCTTAGGAGCACTCTAATTAATTTAATAACAGTGTACCTACCTATATAGTTTAAGTTTAAAAAATTTGGTTCTCGTAAGAGATTTCAATCGTTGTACTGTTGATATTTGGCTCTGTTGACTAATGAGTTTGTCGACCACTGGGCTGGGGCATACAGATGCTTAGTTAGGTTTACAAGGTGCCAGTAAATTACCAGGTATGCAAGTTTATTATGTTAATTAGGAGTGACACAGACATGGGTTCTTAAAACAGATGCAAAAAAGCAATGCGTGACACACACAAAAATAAGTTTCAACCTAAATGCATTGTAAATACTTGATGTAATTTCTGAAAACTGTATTTTCTACACATCCCAACCCCCCCAAAGTGACTATTTACAGTTTCCTGAAATGTCTTTGTTAACATCTTCCATTCTTATTTCCCTAATCTTATGCAACTATACTTAAAAGTGAATATTAATTTAATCCTGATTGCTCTCCCATTTTATTTTATTTTACTTTTATTTTAATCCTCACCTGAGGATACAGTGTATTGGGTTTTTTTTTTAGTTGGTTTTAGAGATGGGGGAGGGGGGAGAGTAAAACATCAGTCAGTCACCTCCTATATGAGCTCCAAACCCGCAACCTAGGCATGTGTCCTGACTGGGAATCAAACCCACAACCTTTTGGTGTACAGGATGGCACTCCAACCAACTGAGCTACCTGGCCATGGCTCCCATTTTACTTTTTACTACCATGGGAACCAGTGAGAGAAAGGATCTCCCCTGTACAAGAGAACTCTAGAGACCCAGATTTTAGGAAAGAAGGAAATGTCTGAGGTTGGCAGAGATGGAAATGGAAGAGACAGATGCCCCCAGCCAGTTCCATAAAGAAAGGTAGAGTGACATGACGACTCAGAATACAGGTCAGGTATGTGTTGGTCGGGATCCCAACCTGGCCACTCACTTAGTGGGAAGTCACTTCACTCTCCACACCTTGAATTCCTAACCTCAAAAACGGAGACAATAATGCCTATCGCATAGGGTTTCTGTGAAGATTAAATGTGTTTCAGAGCATGGACAACAGTGTGGTGACTGCGGGGAGACAGGGTAGAGGTAGAGGTCGAGAGTATAGAATTCCAAACATCTCTACAGTGCAGCAGGTCCTCAAATAACGTTGTCTACTTCTAATATTGATGAGATGCTGTAGGACCCTAACTCTTATTTATATCAATTAGAATCTATGGTAAAACTGGTTTCATTATACATCATTTCCCTTAAAGTTGAAAAAAGCCATTAGTGATGTTAAGTGAGGACTACTATGTGATGACATAGTAAATTCCAGGAAGCAGACAGACAAGTCTCATTTCAGCAAGAGAAGCAGATGATCCTGGGAAAGCTCAGAGGTGAGACAGACTCTCTCAGTGCCGGATCTGAATAGCACTGAAAAGGGAGATAAGTAGGGAGAGATCCGAATGGGACACAACCCCAGCTGGCTGGTTTGTGACTTCTAGAGTACTGGTTGCTGCTCTCCGGGATCTGCTGCGGTCAAGGGAGTTAATAAATCACGGGTTGCACATCTCCATGGCCTCGCCGGCTCCACGTCACTGCTAGTGGAAAACAGGGACTGAAATGGGGTTGAGCTCACAATCCTGCTAGCCAAGGCGGCCTTGGGAACAGTCACCCAGGTGGTTTCCGGCCTGTTCTCCCTACCCAAGAGAGCTGTACCCACTTAGAAGGAACAAAATACAGCCAACAGAGAAGGCCTGCAGCTTAGAAAGTGCAAGACACTTATTAAGTGCTAAGATGACAACGTGATCTTAATGACAGAGCCCAGCTCTGTGTTTGGTATAAAACTGCTATCCATCCTCCTTCATCACACTTTTCTAGTGACGGTTTTTGGTAATGCAACAATGTGACACTCCTTAGTCTAGGGGTGGGATTTTTTCAGGAGTGAGTGTGTATGTGTGTGTGTGTGTGGAGGGTCATACAATTGATTTGAAATATGAATCTGATCATGTCAATCTCTTGCTTAAAACCCTTCTTTAGCTTCCCTTTGATCTCTCAATAAAATCCAAACTTCCTATCATGGTCCACAAGGCCCTTTCTGATCTGGACCCTGCCTTTCTCCTTCATCTTGTTGCACTGCCTCCCTTTCTCAGTACGTTCAAGACTAGAAGTTGGCAATATCTTTCGGTAAAGTGCTAGACAGTAAGTGATATTTTAGACTTTGTGAGTCACACACTGTGTCTGTTGCATATTCTTCATAGACTTTTGTTGTTGTTAATCCTCACCCGAGGATATTTTTCCCCTTGATCTTTAGAGGGAGTGGCAGAAGAGAGTGAGAGGAAGGTAGAAGGAAACATCCATGTGAGAGAGATACATTGATCGGTTGCCTCCCACATGTGCCCCGACAGGTAGAAGGGAACTAACTAGGTGGCTTAGGGTGGGATAAAACATTTTATTAAATACCTATTTACACCTTTGGGTTTAAAGGTACTGACTTATAGAAAATACATTTTCAGCTTTAATATATTTGACAGAAGTATCCAATCCTAGCAGTTTTATGTATAATAGGAGCTTATTAGATTCCTTGCTAACCCTTGGTTCAGCCAGCCTCCCCCAGCAAAACATAAGCTTATCTGTCTTGATCACCAGGGATAGCCAGCACCTAGCACTACTGGAGGGTAAAGTCCACAACATTTATTGAATGAACAAACTGATTAGATATGACTGGAGAGACCCTGAAAGCATCAAGTTCTCCCAGGCCCTTGGCTTCCTAAATGTATTGTCTACAAACTCAAAGGCTAACACAGGCCAAATTCACAAGGTTTATGTGGGCCGCAAAAAAACAAAGCTTCAATTTTCATAGAAACATAGGTTTATTCTGATAGAGACATGCTGAATACAAAGGTCTGAAATAAAAAGAGTAATCCTTAACATAAAATAATAGAACGTTTTAATAAAAGTTAATATTTTTTTCTTACCAGACACTGAATAACTGCAC